CTCAACACATATCTCAATTCACACTTTCCCTTTTTACTATGAGTATTATAAGATCTTAAATTTTAATCCTTAGTTTATTAATAAGACAATCAAGTTTAATTAAGCAAAATTTATGTAAAAAATGGTTAAAGAAGATTAAGGAACCATCCGAGCTTGGGAATAGCCTTAGGAAGGGGGTCTGAGATCAAGCTCAGGCCATATAGGCCTAAAAGAGGAAAAAAAGTGGAGAAATGTGGTTTCATACACTATTTGCCATGGCACAATAGGCTAAAGAAGAGAGGGAGAACCTCTCTGTACTATTCGTTATGGTGTATAGTCACAGAATGATGTGGGCGAGGCATTTTATGCCACACGCTATGGCGTATGGCTAATTTTTTACAAAGGTAAATGTGTGACAAACTCAAAATTAGAAAGGGAGAAAAGAGAAACATGAGAGGGAAAGCAACGAGACACCTTTGTGGTGCTAGGGTTTTACTCGCAAGAGGATAGGAGGCATTGTGAAGCTATCTAACCCAAGAGTAAGTCTCCCAGCTCTTTCTTCTCCTTCTTCAACCCATTTTCTAAAGTGTCAAGTTAGAATTTAATAACGGGAGATGATTTTCAATCTATATAGATTATGGGTTTGAACTCACTAGCTCAAATGAAGTCAACAAAAGTTGTTTGAGGCATTTAAATCAATGATTGAGGGAACACTTTTGATTGATAAGCTTCATTTAAGTTTGAAAACAGTGTGTGATTCATTATGATACACTTTTTATTTTTTCTCATGATGCATTGACAAATTTTTTTTAAAGAAAATAAGCTAATTTTATTTTGCATAATATGCTAAATTAAAAAAATATTTATATTAGTATCCATAAGATAAGATAAAAATTATTGCTCGAAAATTTTGACAGAGAAAATAATGACAAATCTAATAATATTTGTTGGAGAATAAATTTTTTTCTTCAATTAATTATGGGTAGAACTTAATAGAAAATTTATTCTTTCACACAATTTCAAAGTTTCCCCTCACATCAACTAAAGGAAGAGCACAAGTGTAGATGCTGCCTTCTTAAATCCATTATGGGAGCAAAATATTTTAAAATAAAAATAAATTATTATTTATATCTTTAATATATTTGTGTAAAAAATTTTAAAATATAATAATTTTTTATTTAAATTTGCATAAAGTAGCAAGTACAGAAAAATAAATTTTTTAATTTTTAATTTTTTTATTTTATACTTACCTTCCAAATGATAAAAAAAACCTTATAATACCCAAAACTTCTGACAAAAATTACTCAAAAATATTTCAAACATGTTTTTACGGTATTTATATACAAGTAAAAAGTATTCCCGCACGGATCAAAATATACTTCAACAAATTCAATTACTGAGAATTATTCAATGAAGCTGCACCAATAAATTCAAAGCACAAATTTTTAGCTATCACGTAACCCATGGTTTTGTTCGATTTCAGAATTTAACGTCATCATGTTAATTCCTTCCTCTTGTAGTTTTCTAACTTACGCCGGGGAAAAAAAAAATCCTACGCACTATTTGAATTCAAGCGTGTGTTTGAATTAAAAAAAATGCTTAAGTGATGTAAGCAAAACGAAGGTTACAAAATTTCCAGCCCGATGCTCATATCTGAAAAATCTATTGTTTCTACAATTTTTTAATTACAATCATCATTGACTTTAAAATTGACCATGAAAAACTATTTTACTCGTTTTTTTTCCGAAGAATAAAAAATGACAAAAATCAAAGAATACGAAATTATAAAAGTGTGGCCAAAGTCTGTTTGGCCGACTTGCTTTCAATGATTCGGTCATCTTCTACAGAGCTCTTTTTTTTTAACCAAAAAAAAAAAAAACCTGCGTGTATAAAAGAGCGCTAGAACTAGGGCTTAATAAGATTTAACGTTCTATATTTAAATACACTATTATTTTCAAGCGTAAAGATCTATTTTTAATCATCACATAGAATTCAAATATACACGAACGCGCGGTGTAGACAATAAATGGAAACGTTGAAATAAAAATCATATTTTAGATTGAATAAGTCATCAAAAGGAAATTTGAGCAATCGCAAATATTAAAAATAGATTGATTTTTCCTTTGTTTTTATTTCTTTTTTCTTTTACGTTTTTCCTTCTTCTAAGTAATCAGCTGTGATGTATTTTTTTTTTTTATATAATTACTTGATATCTGAAATTGTTGGGTTAAATTCAATAAACATTGTTGAGCTTAATATCGCTCTTCTCTTTGTGATTTTTAATTATGCGTGTTTTTTAATTTCTTTTCTCCCCTATATTTTTCTTACTGTATTCTGTATTTTTCTCTGGACATAGGATGAATCAAATAACGTAACTATCGCACAATGACATAAAACTATAAGAATTCAAATTACAGACACCCACAAGCTAAGATAGGAACGTAACACTAAAAGAGCCACTGAACAATCAACATGATATATAAATATATAGCAAAGATGAGAGCAAAAACCAACCAATTCCCTTTGGATCAAAGCAATCAAATTAATTCTTCATTTTTTTTTCTTCTTACTCGGGGTTGTATTTTTTTTTGGGAATAATTATATTTGTTGTTAATGTAGTTTAATTCAGTTGTCAATGAACCTTGCAGTAATTAACTTTTTTGTATGAGACCTAAGTGTAATCCTCCCTATTTTTTTAGTCTCAAAAGCACAGGGTCTGATTCAATCTTCTTCTTCTTCTTCTTTCATTCTTTCTTTTCCCTTCCTTTTTCATCAGGTTTTTTGTTGTGTCCCCAATGGATTAGTTCTTAATATCGTATTAGAATATTTATATTAAATATATGTTTAAAGATATTTTACTTCATTAAAATAACTCAAGCTAGCTATTTGGTTAGAGACATACCAATTTTTATATGTTTATAATTTATTTTATAATTTCTAAATGTAAAACTTATTTTATCTCTAATACTCAGTTGGCAAAGAAGAGGGAAAATAATAATAATAATAATAATAATAATGTATGTATGTATATATATCTCCCCCTCTCTCCACATACACGTACCAACTAGTTCAAAGCAAGGCTTCAAGATATACCACATTTTATAGTTTTTCAATTTAATATAAACACAAAATAATCTGCTGAGCGCCGAAAAACAAACACGCACACGCATAATATATAATTTTTTTTCTTTTGCCAAAAAAGAGACCATTTTATATTATGTGTGAGAAAAACACTATAATCTAGGTATTTCAGGGAACAATTGGCTGAATTATCTAATAATTAATAGTACGTGACTCTTTGACTGTTACTTTTCTTTCGTTAAGGTCAAGTTCTATACGTCACGATTTTATAATGACAGCGTTGCATTTGAAACTAACAGTAAATTGAGGGGGAACATGCTATCATGCACGCATATATCTATCCGCGCGTGTGAGAGTGGGACGAACCATGCATGATACGAAAAAGAATATTTCTGCGAACTATAAATATGTATATATGGATATGAAGACGATTATTCAACGAAGATTATTAACTTCAGTATTTTGAAAAAACAAAACTAAGCGTATATTCTCTCCGTCCACGATATAATAATCTTTTAACAATAATCTATATACTAATAAATTTTTTATTTTTTCTTTTTACCCTTAGCTCCAATTTATAATGAGGTTTAGGCCAAAAAAAAAATTATAATGAGGTAGAATAAAATTATGAACTGACCGACATAAGAATCCATGCTAATAAATATAAGGAATAAAACGGAAAAAAATTACAAACGCAAAGTTATTTATATTTTGGACCAAGATTATTTAAGAGAAAAGGCTTATACTCCCTTTGTCTTAAATTATAAGACATTTTATACAAAATTTCATATATTAATAAATTTTATTAAATGCACTCAACAATATAATTTTTTCAAAATAAAAAAATAAATTTTTAAAAATACTCTTGATTTAATATATTGAAAAAAATGAGGACAATAAATTGAATAAAGAAAGAAAAAAGGGTAATATTGAAAGTTTATTTAATGAAAACCTCAATTTTCTTAGAGTGTTTTATATTTTGAAATGTTAAATCTCCTCTTAAAAACTCTTGCAAAAATTTAGGATGGACTTAGTATTTTAGATAGGGGGAACATTATATTCAAGAAAATACCAAAATTTTAAAAGCATGATTCCCGTTAAAAACCAATGATGTCGTTTAATTATATAATTATATAATTAATTAATATCATCTTCTTTCCGGTCAGCTTGGGAACATAATCAATAGGAAAAACTATGTTGAAGTCTCATACAAAAGATTTAATTACTACAAAATTTATTAATATATAATTTTCCTTAATTAATAATGCCGGCTGGACGGGGAACACGCGCATACTTTCACCGTTTCACGTTTTCTCGGACTTTGGACTTTGGACTGAAATATCGATATTTCAATGCAAGACGTGTGTGTAATTCAGTGCTAAACCACTTATTAAAGCTATAATTTTCATCTCATTAGGATATATATATATATATATATATATCCGTATGCTTGGAATAGGACTTTTTTTAATAGAAATATACTTGTGAGTTGTGTGTAATAAAAAATCTTAATTTTTAATGGCAGTTTTTTATACTTAATAATAATGACAACAATAAGTTTTCTATAAGACGTGGGATGACTTTATTATTTTAAAAGTAATTATAAATGTAATACTTTTAAGTAAATATTACAAAAATTAAGTCTTCAAACATAATTTATTTGAGAATCTAAACAGTTTCGAGAAATAAAATTAAAGGTTACGTGAAATACGTGTGTAGTTAAATAACGAAAATGCCATCAAAACAGATTAACGTGGCTAGCTATAACTTTCGCATCTAAACAAGAAGTTCTAATTGAGTGAGGTGATCCATGTATAGATCGTCTTAATGTTTCTGCAAATTAATGATGTATTAAAATGAAACTTATCCACCGATCGATTTAGCAGCCAGACTGAGGACATATACCATGCTTTCGGGTAGCTATTCAGAAAACATACATATAATGATATACATACACATCTTAACAACATGTACAAATTAAATCATACAGGCACGTGCATCCACCACACTTAACTAACTCAAATTAAGCCTAAACCTCGAAAGCTTCTCCGTCTCTATATATACTTGATCAGCCTCTTCCACCTTCATATTCATAAAGCCGATTTAGCCAAACATTATGGCGACTGTGACTGAATCCTCCCCTTGGCTTCTCGGCTTGGCTACGCTTGCATTAGCCGGCCTCGTTTATCGGCTTATTAAGATTTTCAAGGGCCCTTCTCTTCCTCTGCCGCCGGGTCCTACACCATGGCCTATAGTAGGAAACATGCCTCACCTTGGTCCTATGCCGCACCAGGCTCTGGCCACCCTGGCTCGGGTCCACGGACCTCTCATGCACCTCCGTCTCGGCGTCGTTGATATTATGGTGGCCGCCTCGGCTTCAGTCGCCGAGCAGTTCTTGAAGGTTCATGATGCCAACTTCTTGAGCCGGCCGCCCAACGCCGGAGCTAAGTATTTGATGTATAACTATCACGACCTTCTTTTTGCTCCCTACGGCCCACGGTGGCGGATGCTCCGAAAAATCACCGCCGTCCATATGTTCTCCAGCAAGGCCCTGGAGGATTGTAGACATTTCCGTCAGGTTCATTTTTTACGCTTCTCTTTCTATAAGCTGGCCATGTTTACGTTCTCATCAGTAAGTAAATAGACAGTATAAATATCACATATATTTAAAGAGAAATAGATTTGTACTCACTCTCACTTACACACAGATAGCAGAGAGATGGAATTGAATGAACTGATGAAAGTATAAGTATTGCAGGAAGAGGTAAGAAGACTGGTTAGTAATCTGGCAAACATTGGGTCATCAAGTGGCGTGAAATTAGGGCAACTTGTGAACGTTTGTGTGACCAACGCTCTAGCAAGGGCGATGATAGGGCGGCGCGTGTTCAACGAAGACAGTGCCGGGAGCGACCAGAAGGCGGAGGTGTTCAAGTCAATGGTGGTGGAAATGATGGAGTTGGGCGGAGTTTTCAACATCAGCGACTTCATTCCGGCGTTGGAGTGGTTCGACCTTCAAGGAGTGCATGGCAAGATGAAGAAGCTGCACAAGAGGTTCGATGCATTCCTGACCAACATCGTCGAGGAACACAAGATTTCTGAGAGCCACCACCACAAGGACTTGCTGACTACGTTGTTGTCGCTTAAGGATGTTCAGAACGACGAGGGAACAAGACTCACCAACGTTGAGATCAAGGCCCTGCTCATGGTACTCGATCCTTTTTTGCGGAGTTTTTACAATAATTAGATGTAAAAAAGCTATGATATTGCCCAGATTTATAATCACTTGCTTCTTCGTTCAAGATGCTCGTGTTTTCTATAGAATATAGTCAACGAACCCTTTTATCTGAATGAGCAAGAGATAACGATATTGATTGATGCAGAACTTGTTTGCGGGTGGGACCGACACGACAACTAGCACAGCAGAGTGGGCCATGGCAGAGCTGATCAAGGACCCAGGAGTGCTGGCTCGAGTGCGACAAGAGTTAGACTCAACAGTGGGTCAAGACCGGCTCGTGAACGAGTCAGACCTAGCAGATCTACCGTACTTGCAGGCCTTCATAAAGGAAACATTTCGTCTCCACCCTCCAACGCCTCTTTCGCTTCCGAGAATCGCAGAAAGTGACTGTGAGATCTTGGGCTACCACATCCCCAAGGGCGCGACTCTGCTGATGAATATCTGGGCCATAGGTCGTGACCAGAAAGAGTGGTCCGACCCGCTAGCGTTCAAGCCCGAGAGGTTCCTTCCCGGTGGAGAGAAGGCTCACGTTGATATTAAGGGTTATGACTTTGAGGCCATCCCGTTCGGTGCCGGTCGTAGGATTTGTCCTGGTGTGAGCGTTGGCCTCTGCATGGTTCAACTTCTGACCGCTACCTTGGCTCATGCTTTTGACTGGGACCTCCAAGACGGTCTTAACCCCCAAAAGCTTAACATGGAAGAGGTATATGGGGTAACCCTCCAACGAAAGGTCCCTTTGTCTGTGAACCCAAGGCCCAGGCTCGCACCACACGTCTACTCCTAGTTATGACTTATGAATATAGTTAATGAGTAACATAAATATAATTTTCAACCGATAAAATAAATGTACTTCTGATATGCTTACAGCTTACAGATATTTAGAGTGCACCCTTTCTGTGTCAGATGTAGAATTTTCTAATAATAAAAAGTTGGCAGCGTTGACGGTGATGTGAAGAGTAAGCGTGGATCGGACTCTCAACTTATAATTAACTTTGTGCGGATGTTTCAAGTTGGCGCATCTATAATTCTATATGCTCTTTGCTGGGCATTTAAAAAATAGGTAATCTTATTTTACAATCCACAAACGGCCCCGTTAAATTAATAAATTCCATAATCGATATCCGTTGTTGAAAGATCTGAACAATTAGGGATGTTATGTACCGTGTACGTATCATCTACGAGTTATTCTCCTTGCAGATTCATTTGCATCGCTGTAAATGTCTTTTTACCTCTTGGCAAAAAATATATATATATTTCTTTTTTTGCCAGCCAAACATTGCACTAGTCTTTAATCCAATCTCCACGGCGTGTAATAGCTCATGCTATGGCCATGCAAAGCCACGTCAAGGGCTCTCCTTATTCTTCTTTTGGTAAATGTTGGGGTTACATATAGCCCCTGGCCCAAAATATTGGGCTGCTTCGTCAGTGTTCAAGCCCGCGAGGTTGACGTCAGAGGCCGTGACTTAAGACAAGGGGTGAGGTACGTGCTAGGTCGGCCTTAGTGCTTTGCCCGGGCTAACTTCTTAATTATTCGGCCTTTAATATTTGATTTGTTTATTGGTTTTGTGGTGGATCTTCTTCGAGCACGTTGATTAATCCATGAAAGAACATGCATATTCTCCACGTCAAATCACGGCAAGAGGCCAGATTAAGAACCTTTGTTGGAGATGCCGAATTGATATTATTAGTTGGTGAAGTTTTACATTAATTGGTCGAGATCGCTAGGAATTGTTATGCAAGCTTAACGTTATGCTTTTGCATTAATAAAATCTATTTTTAAAAGTAGTGAAAGAACTTGAGTATATAATGGAGGTTCCTCCGCCGCTCTCGATGGGACCAGTCGCTTGCATCCTTTAAATACACAGCGTTAGAGAAATGGATAAGGATGTCCCAGCCGAAGAAGTAATTGACGTTGAAGGATGACTTATCCATTAGCTGCCCCCAACCTCAGTCCAATTATTGTTCCAGGACTTCCAAGTATTGCAGAAGTCGCCTCATTCCATCACTGCCCTTCTCCAAAATGTATTTTGATTTCACTGCCTATTCTCTAGGAATTGAGAGGATTACGTGGATAATAAATAATACTCTCTTCATCTTAAATTATAAAATATTTTTAATTAAAATTTTACATATTAATAAATCTTATTAAATACACTTAATAATATTATTTTTTTAAAATAAAAATATAAATCTTTAAAAATACCATTTATTTAATAACTTTAAATCTGCACTTAATTAGTATTAAATAAAAAGAGAGAGAGGATAATACTATAATAAACCTATTTAATAAAATTTTAATTTTTTCAAAATGTCATATATTTTGAGATGGCAAATCTCCCTAAAAAATATTTTATAATTTAAGATAGAGGGAATATATTGTAACTGTTATTTTTATGAAAGTTTATATGTTAAATTTAACCCAGCTATTCACTATTCTTTCAAGATAACTTCTTTTTATTATGATCACTTGTTAACAGTTTCATATAAAATTAAACGTTTAGTTAAAATTAGCTAATTAATACTCAAAGTTTTAAAATGACCTCAATAAAATTTATTAGTTAGATGATTTTTTCTTTCTTTTTTTTTTTTTAAATCAAAGGTACTCCTTCTGATTAACGAAAAATGTAGCAGTGTTACAAAGCAACAAAAATACAAAAACCTGACAGAAACGAAACGAAACTAAACAAATTAACCAACACCAATTACATCAATGGAAGTATAAGTATTGGCAATGCATCATTAATTGCTTCCACATCAGAGGTCAGAATGGCAAATGAAGAAAGTGATGCTTCAAGAACCCATCCCATCAGGCATACTTCCTTTATATTATGTTTGGATGTCTATAAATTTAAATTTAAATTTATATTTGAGTTAAATTTATTATTTGAACAATTAAAAATACATAGAAATAGATTTAATTTGACCCAAATTCAAATCCTATCTCAGTCTCTCTATAATTTCAAATCCTTTATAAATCCTTATTATTTCAAATTTCAATGAAAGTTTTTCCCTTCCTTCACGTTCGTTCGTTTACTATGGATGTAACATCCCAATTTAAATTTTAATAATTAATTTAAATTAATAAAAAATTTTAAAAAAAATTTGGAGATAAGCAAATTAGTAAAAAATGATCATTAAATCTAACTTAGGATATAATTTTAAATTAAAATTTTTTTAAAAAATTAATAAAAAATTATTAATTAATTAAAAAATATTATTAAATTATTATTATAAAAAAAAGGTATGAAAAAAACAGAGAAGAGAAGAAGAAAAAGAGAATTTGCTTTCGGCCGCCGCATACATCAATAATTGTATAAAATAATAAAAAAAAAGGAGAAGAAGAGAGAGGAAAGAAGAAATAATAAAAAAAAATGTGGGACCCACTGAATTTTTTATAAAAACCCACCTCCTTCCTTCTTTCTTCACTTCTTCGTTTTTTCATTCTTCTCTGTGCGCGAGTTGAGGTAGAGAGAGCATCTAGTTTCGTTGGTGCTGGGTTTTAAGGTAAGAATTTTTAATAGGATATTTAGGGTGTGATTTTAAGCTTTTCAAGACTAAGTTAGTGTTCTAAAAAATTTTCTTAGTCATCCTTCCTCTTTGGTTTCTGATTTTGTGGTGGTAGAAAATTTAGGATCTGGAAGAGGGATGAATTTATGTTGAATAAATATGATTTATGAGGTTGTTAGTAGTATAATAAATGTTCTAGAGTATAAATTTGTTAATGATCTTTGAATTTGTAGCTTATAGATCAAATTTTAAACTAGATCTGAAAATATATGTTAGTTTATTGAGGTTTAGATGATTATTTAGGATGAGAAATGAATTATTATGGCTATAGGATTATGATTCTAAGCTAGAGACTCAATTTTTAATTTTTGGGTATTTTAGGTACGAATTTATGAAATAAGAAGAAAATATTGATAATAGAAATTAGTTTAGAAGTTGATTTTTAGATTATTAATGTTTATTGATAATTAAAAGAGGAGTTAAAAATTTTACTTAATAGTGTTGACTCTAGATTTGTATTAAGATTAAGATTAAAAATTATGTTATATTTTTAATTCTATTATTAGAATTATTTTATTAGTTTCAAAAATTGAAACTAATATTTATAAATAATATGTTATTTGTAGATTGTATTATTGGTGAAAATTATGGTGGGAGAGAAATTATAAGGAATAATTTATTGAAAAAGCCACGAGGTAACCATGCTTTTAATTTGTGATTAGTGTTACTTCATGTTAATTGAGTGATTATTGAGAAAATTATGAATTTTGTAATATTGTAAAATTGTACAATATTATTATGAATTTGTTTGATTATTGTGGGAGGTGTTGGGAGACTTGCTATTGTTGTTGTATTTATGTGCCACGTGGTACGCCCCTATTGGAGCTCAATAGGTGGCTTGTAAGGGTTTGAGCTAATCAACCTTTGGCCGGGTAATTTAGCACCGAGTGAGGGCTACGGCTTGAGGTTAATGGAGGGATATAAGGATGGTTGTTTGTGTGTATTGTAATATTTTTTATATTTTATTGGAATTATATTATTTTTGGTTCCCACTTAGTAAGCACACACTTAACTGTTTGTACACACTGTCATAAATTGGCTTTGGTTACTGGGACTTTTGAGTCTCATTATGTGGTTAACAATTTTCAGGAGAAGAGCCACGAGTGACACGTGGAGGAGTCCTAGAGGCTTAGTGGCATAGATCCACTGTCTCTTTTGAGTATTTGATTTATGATTTATAATGTGTTATATTGCCAATATTAGAGCTTTTTGTTTATTGACAATTATATGAATATATAAATGTAATCATGCCTTTTAAACTATTTCTATTTTTGGTATACTTTGGATGACTGTAATTTTAATATTTGATTTATTTTGGATTGGTTAAAATGGCATGATTATGAGGCCAAATAACTGGCTTGTGTTGAAAATTAACTAAATTGTTTATTTTACTTGTTGGGAGTATAAGGATGGATAAATGCGATTTAGTTTACTTGTGGGGAGTATAAGGATGGACAAATGTAATTTAGTTTACTTGTTGGGAGTATAAGGATGGATAAATGTGATTTAGCCTAATGGCATGTGGGAGGTAAAAATTTATCTGAAATGTTATATTGTGTGAGTTGAAGCTAATTATAAAATATTTTATATTGAAATTATTGATATAAAAATATGTTGGGTGGCTGTAACCCAACTATGGTTGAGTTAAATTATTAAAAAAAAATTGGTGTGTTACAAATCTTAGTATCAGAGCTACATGTTTCAAATTCTTATAAATTATGAAATTGTTATACATTAACCTAGTTTATTGGCAATATACATTATTAAATCATAATACTTCTCCATTATTTTTCTTGTCTTGAGATTAGTATTGACTTAATTATGTGACTTCCATCCTTTAGGAGGGGAGAGATGGTGTCCAAAACTAGAAAAGGTGGCGAAATTATCGATGATTCTATAGAGCCAGTAGGAAATGACATACCTTTACTGCCACAATCAGAGCCCATACAGCAACAAATGGGGCAAGGCGAGCCTATACAGCCACAACCAAGGCAGGGTGAGCCAACCATGAGGCAAATGATGGATCTACTGCAAAATCTTAGTGACCGCATGAAAAGACAAGAAGAAGAGTTGGCCGCTTTAAGACAATATAAGGAGAACGCCAACCGAGAAGGAAATGGTCAACTAGAAGGAAGCCATACCAAGGTATACAATGTGAGCCAATCTGCTGATGAAGGCTCACCTTCCTATTCTCAACATGAGACTAGTTTGAAGAATATGAGTCTCCACTCTGATTAATAGACATCCACGATCACAAAGATCTGGAGTACTTTTCGCAAGTTTAATCCTCCTACTTTTGATGGAAATCTTAAGCCAGCGGTGGTTGAAGAATGGATAGATCAATTAGAGAGTATTTTTTGTATGGTTGTG